TGCGACTGCATAGGTTTATGAAAAATGGCGTTTTTAATCCCTAGAGGGTTACTCACGACTGCATAGGTTTTCTACTATGCGACCGCATAGTAGAGCGAACTTCTAATTTGAGTCATTTTGATCCTCAAGTTTCATTCCTTCACTCCTTCACCTCCTCTCTTGTTTCTAGTTGCTTCAATGTTCCATTATAACTTCCAATTGGTGCTTAGCTTGATCAATTGCTTGATGTGTTCATCGGGTCAACTTTCAGATAAATGCAATTTGGTCCCTGAATTTTCATTTTGCTCTAATTTGGTCCTTTTTCGGCTCTTTTCTCCTGAATTCCACTATTTCCATAGAATTACCTACATTGCATGAATTCGACAAAATTAAGTAACAATTCAATCCTTTTACTTGTATTTAAATCATGTTTGTGATGTAAATAAGTGTGCAAAAATACACTTATCAAACCCCCCAAACTTGAACTATTGTTTGTTCTCAAACAAGATAGTGATATAATTCTGAACAAACATGGCTTAATACCTTGCCTTGGCTCAGGATTGGACAAAGTAATTGATTTTATGAAAATTTATCAGTGCAAAATGATATCAACCTTTACCTGTTAAGTGCATACTTGACGTGTGTGTGTGGATTCATGCTAACATATCAAGTTCATGATGAGTTTGAGTCCCGACTCCACATGGTCAAATATCTCTTTACTCGCTCGAGAGATACACAACCCCCCAAACTTATTCTTTTCACTCAATTATCCCGGGGTTGTGTTTAAAATTATGAGTTTACCTAGCTATAGTTCTCACCCTCTCGTAGTTTGGATTAATCTCACTATCCTAAGTTCACATGTCAACAAGTGAAGGCTCTCCTAGTTTTGATTGCTTCGACACTCAAGACTAAATTAGGTTACTTACCTTGCCTCAAAGGTATAGTTTCTTCCACCAATTGTCCAAGGGCTTTTCTTCTTATTATTGTCTTTTTTTTCTCACTTTTCTCTATTTTTTTTTTGATTATCATCTTCTCATTTGCTTTCTATATAAGCCATGTAACGAGCTTTAGGCCGGTGACTCCCAAACCAGTTGACTTTAGGGCACCAGGTTTTAAACCCTTGCAGGCTTATTCACCCGAGTTATAAAGGCTCCATCAGATTACTTTTTATTAACCTCTTTACGTTTTGCTTTCTATATGACCCATGTATCGAGCTTTGGACCGGTGACTCCCAGATCAGTTGACCTTAGGGCACCAGATTTTGAAATATCCTTACAGGCTTACTTGCTCGAGTTATAAAGGCATGAAAAGAAGTGTCTTATTCTCACAAATTAAGTTTATGCCCTTATTTTTTTTCTAGACATCTGGTATCCAAAACCAACCCTCAATTTAAGATTTTTACCTACTCTTCATCCCACTGATCTAGGCAATCCACACAATAGTTCATGCACGGAGCCTCACTTATCTCAATATTCTCCTGTAATAGGTCAACTATCACCAAACTGTCTTAAGGTAGTTTACGGGTTAATTCAATAGAGTGTTACATTATTTTCCTACTTTATGCTCAAAACCCCAATCACTTACCTAACATGTAAAGCATGAATGACGTGCATAAAGAATGTCAAGTATTACATCAACAAGTATTAGTTGGTCTAATTAACACCGACTCCAAAGTTTTGAAATATACCAATCCAATAGTAACATCATAGCCGGCAAGGCGATTAGGCTCACACAAGCATACATAAGCATAATCAATATTCACTCACAAGCATGCCTCATGCAACAATTAGTCAAATTAAATCTGGATTGTGGAAATGCAATTAATTACATGCCGAATGTCTTTATCAAATTATGCCACCATCCCCCAAACTTATACAAGACATTGTCCTCAATGCGAAAATTAAGTTTAGATGGCAAAATTTTAGGAAAATGAGTACAAATGAGGCAAACGATACTCCCCTGATCAATACAGGGGCTGCAATGGGAAGCTAGAACCTGCAGTATCATCAGCTGGAGGTGGAGGTAGGCGCGCCAAGATCTCTCTCATCAGTGCTGACTGCTGTGTCATTTCATCATGGATTCCCTCAACACGTGTCTCAAAATGGCCCAGACGCTCCCAAGTTTTATTTACCCTCATCTGGATGCCATCCACCCTGCCCACATACACACTAAGTCGACCGTTCATAGTGTTCATCTCCCTCCTAGCTGCCTGGGCATCCTGGCGAGCAGCACGTAACATATCAGTGGAAATGCGGATGTCACGGTGGGCTGTATGCATCTCAGTCGTCAAAGTCCCCATAGCCTACTGGAGACTCTGTACGTCTCGGCTGGTCCCTGTGGTGGTGGTGAAAATCTGGCGCCACAGCTGTGCATTTAACTTAGCCTGTGGTGGTGGAGCTTGAGGCATCTCTTGCTCTGCGTGCTCGTGACCTTGCTCTTCCTACTGTCTGCGCCTTTCAATTTCTTGCTTTTCCCAGTGCTTTATCCTGGCTCTGTCTTGAGCCTCCAAGGTACTGCGCTTTATGATGGGGCTGGGTTTGGCAGTCACTTCACCGGATACAATGTTTATACCAGCAGCTATGCATATTCCGGAGATGAGGCTTGGAAAGATCATTGAGCTGTGCCTGTCTCCCAAGGTACCCACATGATAGATCTGATTATAGCAAAGAGTGGTAAGCTCAACCTTATTACCTCGCACCAAGTGATAAAGGAATCCAGCTGTGGGATCTGTGAATGTGGTCCTGTGAGAGATCGGCTCAATGTTGTGGCACATAAACAGCCACAGGATGGCTATAGATGGTGTCAGCTCAATCTGGTGCCACTCGGTGGTGGGGAGTGGTCATGCATTTTGTCGCCCCAATAAGATCTCCGCCACTTCATGCCAATTGAAGTCACCTGGTATAGGGGTTATGTTTTCCCACGTGAGCTGGTAGTAGTCTTGAATAACCTCGGGTGAGAATGTGATCCATTTTCCCCTGACCCAAGTCTGATACAGGTGGTCGGACCCTGGTGTGTCAATTTCTGTATTGAAGTTGGCGTAAAATTCCCCTACCAACAATTCATAACTTCGATGTGGCTGCTCCACTATTTTATCCCATCCACAGTTATGCACCAAAGTGGTCAGCTCGAAATCAGGAAAGTCTTCCAATTTAACAGCCCGCTCTGGTGTCACTGTCCATCGACTCACTATGTTTCATATCGGGCTGCTGCCTCGGAAGTCAAGAATCTTTGTATCCCACCTTCAAGCACTCGAGTGCATGCTGTGCCGGATGATGAGCCAACCTTCTCTTTTCCTTTTGAAGTTCGTTTTGTTGGCATCCTGTAAGGTTGGAAAATAGCTAGCATTAAACATCTTGTTGTACAGCGAGAAATCGCATGAAATGAAAAGCACGTAATCACAAATCCCCAAACTTGTTTCAATATGCATGTATACTACCATGGTGTGTAATGAATAGTGTATGATGATTAGATTAGTATAAATGTATAGTCCATATGAAAACATAAGAAAATTTGGGTGAATATGCTCATAGTGAAAGGGTTGGAGTCATGATTGAGTGTACACCTTCGGCCCCGGGCACCATCGAGAATTATCAAGATTGTCCCGGGCAACCTCCAGGCATATGAAAGTATGCAATGAGGTCTAGCACATACCCAAATTTCAGCTCAATCGGAGTTCGTTTGGTGCATCAAATGGTAGTGTAAAATAAGGGACGGAGGGTGCTGTGGGCATGCAATGACTTAGCTATTTTGTGTGAATGTGTGTGTTGATGTAGTCTAAGTCACATTGGTTGGTAATACATCACAACGAGTTATTCCATTCATCTAATAGTCATATGCCATGCTAGATGTTCATAATTGTATTAGATTACCAAAATGGGCATTTTATCGAACATGTTGTGTGCATTATGAAATCTTCATACATTAGCCAAAAAATTACTATGTCACATGGTTCCCCATTCAAAAATTAATCACCAATCTCATATACATTCGGCAATCAAATAAATTTAATGCAACATGCACCAAAATACCCAAAAATTATCAATGTGGCAATTTATCAAACACCTAGCATGCATTCTTTAGAAATCCATATAAAACCCAATAACTCAAAATTCGAATTACCCCATAACACAATTGAATTGAAAATAGTACACTCCATCCACCATCTACACCCCAAATCACCCCAAAATGCAGAGAATCAATTCGAAAATGACTTAAAAAAAAGAGGCACAATGAAGGAGATAGTCAAAATTCATACCTTCAAGATGATGTGCAACTCCAACCTCGAGATTCTTGTGTAGTGTAGGTGAGTGAAATACAATTAAGTGTAAAAATCGTATCCAAGATGAGTTTGGGCGAGAGAGGAGTGGGGATGAATGATTTGGAAGTAAAAAAAAAATGATCCGGGCGTGGGTTAAAAACCCACGCCTTTTTTGTTCTATGTGGCCGCATAGTTAAAAGCTATGCGGTCGCATAGGTATAATATTTTTTTGATTTTTAGATTCGGTTGCGCATAGACACCATGTCTATGCGATCGCATAGACATCCCTTTATTTTATTTTATTTTTTTATTTTTTTTTCAAAAGAAATAAAATAAAATAAAACAAAGGCTCTTTCCCAAAAAAAATTTGATTTTTGTCCAAATTTTTTTTTTTGATAAAGGACCCGGCTCTCAACGCCCCCAATTTTTTCGAAGACATACTTTTAAAACATTGATATGTGAAATTTTGAAAACATAATTTGCCTCGAAATGCATGAATTCCACATTCAACTACCCAAACAACTCAAATCAACCCGAACTCGTGTGTGATACTTAAGGACTCGTGTGAACAGTGCTTGGACTCTTTTAACATGCCTAGATGATCGATGACCACATAACAGAATACTAAATGAATTTGAAAATAAACTTCCTAATCTAATGCAGAAAACATAATAAAGTAAATAAACAGATAAAAAGGATACAGTGGGTTACCTCCCACCCAGCTCTAAGTTATAGTCGATAGCTCGACTTTTCTGCGGCTGCTTCATTCTGGCGTCTCGAGTTGAACGGTTGACTTTTGGTTAGAGAAGTCACCACCCCAGTAGTGTTTCAACCTTTGCCCATTAACAGTGAAGGTACCCTTATTCTCATGGCTCACTTGTATAGCCCCATATGGTAAGACTTTTGTAACTGTGTAGGGACCCGACCACCGTGATCGTAGTTTTCTTGGGAATAGCTTGAGTCTCGAGTTATACAGTAGTACTTGTTGCCCCACTTCCAATACTTGCTTCTGAATGTGCATATCATGCCACTTCTTGGTTCGCTCCTTGTAAAGTTTTGCATTTTCATAAGCCTCCATTCTAAATTCATCCAACTCATTCAGTTGCAGTAGACGCTTTTCACTAGCGGCATTCAAGTCCATATTTAACTGTTTCATAGCCCAATATGCCCGGTGCTCCATTTCTAATGGCAGATGACATGCTTTCCCAAAGACTAGGCGGTATGGAGACATAATGCCGATTGGGGTTTTGAATGCTGTTCTGTAAGCCCATAATGCATTGTCTAGCTTTTTATACCAATCATTTCTAGATGAATTCACAGTGACTTCTAGTATTCTCTTCAGCTGCCGATTAGATACCTCAACTTGCCCGCTGGTTTGTAGATGATATGGAGTAGCAACGCGGTGTTTAACGCCATATTTATTTAGCAGCTGCTCAAACTGGCGATTACAGAAATGCTTGCCCCCATCTCTGATTATAGCCCGCGGTGTACCATATCGGGTGAAAATGTATTTCTTCAAGAATCCAATTACTGTCTTTGAGTCATTTGTTGGCAGTGCAACTGCTTCCACCCATTTTGAGACGTAATCCACTGCCACCAAGATATACTGGTTTGAGAACGAAGGGGGGAAAGGTCCCATGAAGTCAATTCCCCAACCATCAAATATCTCCATTTCCAAAATATTGTTCAGTGGCATTTCATTTCTTCTCGAGATATTCCCAGTGCGTTGACATCTGTCACACCTCTTAACAAACTCAAATATGTCTTTAAACAATGTAGGCAGTCGAAACCTGATTGTAAAATCTTTGCAGCTGTTTTTGAAGCTCCAAAGTGTCCTGCATATGCGAATGAGTGACAGTGCTCAAGAATCTCATGTACTTCTTCTTCAGGTACGCACCTCCTCACTATTTGATCAGCTCCTCGTCTATAGAGAATTGGATCCTCCTAGAAATAGTATTTTAACTCGGCGAAGAATTTTTTTCTTTGGTGACTGGAACAGTCAGGCGGTGGAATGGAACTGGCCAAGTAATTGACAATATTTGCGTACCAAGGTGCTTCATCCACTCTCAACATCTGTTCACCCGGGAAGATCTCATTTATATCCACTAAATCTTCCATCTCCCCAGGTTCTAGTCTGGATAGGTGATCTGCTACTACGTTTTCGGTGCCCTTCTTGTCGCGTATCTCAATGTCAAATTCTTGCAACAACAGCACCCAACGAATTAATCTCGGCTTTGCATCCTTCTTTGTGAGCAAATACTTCAATGCAGCATGATCAATATAGACGATAATTTTAGGCCCGACGAGGTATGACCTGAATTTGTCAAATGCAAATACCACATCCAATAGCTCCTTTTCAGTGGTTGCATAATTTATTTTTGCATCATTTAGAGTTCTGCTTGCATAGTAGATCACATGAAAAATCTTGTTCGTCCGCTGTCCCAATACTGCACCTACAGCGTGATCACTTGCATCACACATCAATTCAAAAGGTAATTCCCAGTCTGGCGCTACAATCATTGCTATCGTAAGCTTTTCCTTTAAAGTGTTGAAGGCTGTGAGACAATCCTCATTGAACTCAAAGGTTGCATCTTTCATTAGTAAATTGCACAAAGGTTTAGTGATCTTCGAGAAATCTTTTATAAACCTCCAGTAGAACCCAGCATGCCCCAAAAAACTGCGAACTCCTTTAACTGATGTAGGCGGTGGTAATTTCTCAATCACTTGAATTTTTGCCTTGTCTACCTCAATTCCTTTTGCCGATATCCTATGCCCAAGTACAATGCCTTCCTGCACCATAAAGTGGCATTTTTCCCAATTTAAAACCAGGTTAGTCTCCTTGCATCTCTATAAGACCAAATTCAAGTGGTTTAGACATTTATCAAATGAAGATCCAAATACTGAGAAGTCGTCCATGAAAACCTCGATAAACCTTTCAATCATATCAGAGAATATTGCCATCATGCACCTCTGAAATGTGGCTGGAGCGTTGCAAAGACCAAAAGGCATCCTACGATAAGCAAAAGTACCGTAGGGGCAAGTGAAAGTGGTCTTCTCCTGATCCTCTGGTGCGACAGGTATTTGATTATAGCCCGAGTCTCCATCAAGGAAACAGTAGTGTGAATGTTCAGCCAACCTCTCCAACATCTGATCAATGAATGGGAGTGGAAAGTGATCCTTTCGTGTAGCTGCATTGAGTTTGCGATAGTCAATGCAAACT